TGTTGTTGGCCTTCGGGGCTCTTACTTTCTTCCCCCTTTAATATATTACCCACCCACTGTTTTCTTTTCCCTCGCTTGCTTTTGGATTTTATACATTTGTCATCTTATCTTCTCTTCCCCACCATCCCATTTAGTTCATTTCTTTCCATATTATATTTCATCCTTAATTCAAGGAAGGCAACCAGAGCTTAGTATTAGGATGACAATTTTACATTTTTACTCATACCCATATATACATGGGTATTTTATTATCAAATTCGGTTTGGGTATGAAATTCAAATAGATAGTATATGGATAGAGTTTGATCGGTTTGTACCTGTACTTATTTATTTGATTTGGATTGGATTTTCAATTCATGGATTAGACTTTGTACTCATACATATTTGCAAATTATAGTTTGGTATCTAAACTTAATAGATCTTTAGATTTATTATCTAATTTTTTTGCATATATATCCTCAAAACAATGGTGGAAAATTATATTTTAGTACCTACAAATTTTGTGTATTGCATTTTGGTACCTAAACTTTTTAAGGTTTACAAATAAGTACAATTTTTATTGTTGGGCATGTGACTCGGACCTAGCCGCGCCAGGAGAACGCGCCGCGACCAAAGACATCCAACGCGCCTCACTACGAAGAGCCCCAGCGCAGATCAACGCGAAGGCTTTGAGCGCGTCACCTCAGCATTTCCCGGCGCGAAACCCTTGAGCGCGTCACGGCTACGCGCACGCGAGAAGGTCAAAGCGTAGACCAAACCAAAGAGATGTTGAAAGCGTCGTCGCACTTCCCGAGGAGTAGTCACATCAAGGTCCTAAGCACAGTCCTAGATAAGTCTCTGACATGTCCTAGGTAGAGGCATGGCCTAAATCTCCTGCGTGTCAGTAGTCACATCATTGTACCCTCATGTAACCCAACCACTCACCCACCACCATGTAGCCTATAAATATGGCATTTACTACGGTGGGTGAAGGGGATCGATTCTAAGACATTCAATCTCAACAACATCGACTTCTCTCTCTAAACCATCAATTCTCCCAACTCCATTCTCTCTGATTCTTATCCAACGTGAGATCATTGATCACCCTCCGTTTATTCTGCTTGACTCACTTTCTTCCTTGAACTTACCTCCTACACCCAGCTAGGTTCAAACATTTATGTATAGTTAAAACATCCTCAAGGAAATGGGTATCTATACCAAACTCATGCCCATTTTTATTATGGAAGCAAAATTCAAACTCTACCCAAACCCTTCTACAAACCCCCTGTTATGGGTTTTACTTTTGGGTATCCCCCACAAAAGGCCTCGTACTAATTGGCCTACGTGGACACTAATATACAAGGGTTACTTCCCTTCTATTACAAATGTGGTACTTTGATTGTCACATAACACCACCAAACTCATATATACTTCGTCCATACCCTACATATAATCAATGGATCTTTTTGGATTGGGCAAAATTACCCATGGATGGGTAATTACCATCCCAATAAAGCCCTTTCGTCAAGACAGTGGTTTCTTCATAAGAGTTCATTTATAATGAATCGAGGAGAGGATAATATCACTCCGATGAAGTCGATTGTAATGGTACATTCACTCTCACCCTCTGTTCCTAAAGAAAAGTAAAATTGAAGGGTGAACTGAGGGAAATTGGAGAGATTCAGAACTTTTTCCTTGTGTATAGGTTTTGTTACAATATAGATCAGTGATTGTTTGGGGTGGGGGGTCCTGTAGGCTGTAGCACTTGAGCCTCAATTTGGGGTGAAAACTACTTTTGCCTCTTGTTGGATATCTTTTCCTCTTTAAAAGTGAATACCACTTTCCCCTTCTTTTTTTGTTTTTCCATAGATGAATACCACTTTTCCCTTATTATTCCACTACGCTTAAATTTTTACTTCATCCAAATTTTCCTTGCTCTCCCCAAATTTCTCCACCTCTTTCATGAATAGAGTGTAAAGGTTTCGTGAAACTGAAAGTCAAAAGATAATATAAAAAGGACTTCAAAGTTCATGATCAATTCCCGCCTATAGAGGTGAAATTTTCAAGTTCGTGGGACCCATAAATTTGGATATTTAACGTTCACAGGCCTCACGAACCTGTTGCCCTTAAATACATGGAGCAAATATAAAGTTTGGATATATTTCATGATAAATCCAAATATATCACTATATCCGTCAAACAACCTTTTAGTCTTACTTGCATATTCAGTTATTCACTTTCATTGAGAGCACATAATTTTCACACACCTTATGACTCACTTGACTATATTTTGATTATATTGGATTGGAATTATACATTAATTAATGAATATAGGTTGGAGTGACAACCTTATTTTATAATACTAGTGAAATTGAGCCTCGCTCCGCTTCAACTGGGCTTTGTGGCTGTAAGCCCATTTACGACTATGTATAAAACGTCCAAATTTACTTATTTTCCTTAGAGACTAACCTTATTCTTCAATCTTTATCACCCAAAAAATTTCTCTTTATTCCACCTCCAGACCTCTTTCTCCAGAACATAAAATCAAAATAAGATCCAGAGAGTCCCTTAACCTAGGGCTGGGCATACGGGCGGATCATCCGCGGGTTTGGGCCGACCCACCCGCATTTGACCCTAATTTTGTTAAGTGGGTGGGTTTGTGGGTGGGTGACGGGTTGCGCTGGGAGCCATCCGTCGGGTGGTGGGTGGGTTGTGGGTGAGTGTGCGGGTGACCCGCTCAACCCAACAGCAAAAAGATCAAAGTCGTTGGCGCTAGAGAGAGGAGAGTGGAGACGTTAGATATAAACTCAGATTGCTCCTGGAGTTTGAACCTCAAAGCCAACCTTCCAAATAGAGATCCCCTCTTCTTCCCTTTACTTTTTCCTCTAATTCTTGTGCCTAGATCACTGCTCTTTCCTTTGTGGAATTATTTTCCTTAGTTCCTTGCCCCTATTAATCGTCTCAATCTGTAGAAAACTCTTTCATAATAGAATTTCTATCCAATTTAAGAACTAATTCGACATTTTTCACCCTATTTCAACTTCTTGTTTCCCTCGATGATTCTCTTCACCTATTATCATGTCAAGTTGACTCATTTATATTATATACATTGTGATGTGGGTGAACCCACAAACCCACCCGCATCATCCACCATCCACCATCCGCCCCACCCAACCCGAGACTAAATGTGGGTGGGTGGTGGGTTAAAAATTATCAATCCGTTTTAAGAGCGGGTGGGTGCATTTTATGGTCAAAATCCACCCGACCCACCCAATGCCCACCCCTACCTTAACCGGCTAACTGCCACATTATTCTCTCTTTCTTCCCCTCAATCTGAAGGATTGCTGGCATCATAACCTATTCTCCCATCTCCAACTTCGATCGTCGCAATGCATTCCAACCTCTGCCTACAGCCTGACTTTGGTTCTCAGTCTCTGCCTCGCTTCCCTCTTTCTCTATCTTCGACTCTTTGTCCCAAGTCTCTGAATCAGATTTCATTTTCTTGTCGTCTCCTTCTTCTTTTCTGTTGTGATAATTTGATTCCAGTTCCTCGTTGTCTCCTCCCTCTTCATCCCCAACGCAGACTCCCGGATCAAACTCGCCAAACCTCTGATCTCCGACACTTCTTCCCTCATTTGATCGATCGAGTTTGCCTATGGACGGTGAGGTGATTGTGGTTGAGACTTGAGAGGAAAGCCGACGATTATGATAGGGGTGGGCAACGGGTACCCATTCCTATTAGAACAGGAAACTCCATCCCATATCCCAAACCCGTACGGGTAAACGGGTACCTGCGAGTAACCCGTATAATACCTAAAAATGACAAAAATAACATAAATTATCCACCTCAAAATAATCACCCTCACTTACCCACATGATTATTATTATTAATGGATGGTTGACTGATGCTATTCAGGAGGATTCCTGCTGCATATAAAGATTATTTTACTTTCATTAGCTGCTGCTCGTTTGTAACTTAAGAGCTTTCTGGTTATTTTTGTAGAACAAAGATGGTTACTGGGCTGACAACTGGAAATTAGTAACTAAAATCTTATTTGATGTAGCCATACAATACCAAATATATATGTAGCCATGCAATGCAGCAGAGATATCCGTGTGATTTGGGCTATGGCGGGTAGTACGGGTACCCGTAATACTCAAACGTGTATTAACGGGTAAACCGCGGATACCCATTGTAGGTTTTCATGATTGCAAATCTCATCTCGTAAGATAAAATATGGGTATTTGGGTACCGGTAACCCTTAAAAAACGAGACGGGTATGGGTATACCCAAATACCCGTTTCCCGTTGCCCACCCCTAGATTATGACTTGTGATAGTGGAAATTGAAACACATCAGCCATGGGAATTTTGAAAATAAAGCAAACTTATAAGGGCATTAAATGTAATTTGGACAGGTGTCGAGTCCAGTGGCGGAGGGAGAGGGTAACAGGGTGGGTCCCGGGACCCACCCTGGTTCGGGAGGAAAATGGTTAAATTAGATACGATAATTAATTGATATAGAAAAATTAGGTCACGTTTAATTGACAATAGTAGTTTTGTGTTTGAATCTAGGCAACCTTATTTCTTAAGCATACGATATAAATATTTGTGCAAACTTCAATTTCGTATAAGTCGATTTTCTTATGAGGGAGCATGCTAGTAAATGGTATCATATATATATTATGGGTTAATTGCATGGTTGGTCACTGAGATTACGAAAAACGTTCATGTTTGGTCACTGTAAATATTTAAATCCAATTTTGGTCACTCAAATTAGTTAAATGGTTCAAGTTTGGTCACTCTCAGTCCAACTCCGTTAAATTTGTCTGATGTGGCAGTCAACCCTCAAAGTTGACCGTTAACTCAGTGACATGACAATTAAAAAATAATAAATAAAATAAATTTTAATCTTCTACCATTTCCAACTCATTTTCACATTAAAATAAAATAAATAAAACAAAAAAATATTATAATTACAAATAAAGGGGCGTTTCCTCCCTCTCCCTTTTCAACAATTCCATCAACTCCTCCCTCCCGGCACCACCATCACCGGAATTGTAGCCAGGTGAACCATGAACAAGGCGAACCCAATTGGGAGTGGCGCCAGGACCTGTAAAATTGCAGGGGGAACCTTCAATTGAAGCTGAATTCCAAACCTAGGGTTTGGGGTTCATTCAAAAAAACAGTGCTACTCACGGGGACATGGGAGTCTCTGGCATTTCTCTTAGGGTCAGTGGCGGAGAAGACAGTGTAGACAAGAACGAAAGTGCCGATGATTTCCGCACTGAGCCCAGTCCCCTTGTTGTACCCATCGGCGAGCTCGTTCGCCCCGCCGCCGTACCTGGTGTAGTAGCTCTTCTGGAACGCCTTGACGAGCCCACACCCGCAAATTGCGCCAAGGGATAAAGTGAAACTGTTGAATGGTAGAAATCAATTACTTAACTAGAGGGCAAACCGGGATTCTGTATTTTGTGGGCTCAATAGGAAGCCGCCAAGTAGAGCAACGCCCGGACCAGGGACACCTTCCTGGCGAGGAAGAGGCCGAAGGTGACGGCGGGGTTGATGTGGCCGCAGAGATGCCGGCGGTGCAGTAGACGAGGACGAAGATCATGCCGCCGAACGCCCAGGCGATGTCGAGGATGCCGACGCCGGGGAGGTAGGAGTTGATGGAGTTGTTGAAGAGGGAGAGGGAGGAAGCGCTACTTTGTTTGTAATTATAATATTATTTTATTTTATTTATTTTAATTTAATGTGAAAATGAGTTGGAAATGGTAGAAGATTAAAATTTATTTTATTTATTATTTTTTAATTGTCACGTCACTGAGTTAACGGTCAACTTTGAGGGTTGACTGCCACATCAGACAAATTTAACGGAGTTGGACGGAGAGTGACCAAACTTGAATCATTTAACTAATTTGAGTGACCAAAATTGGATTTAAATATTTACAGTGACCAAACATGAACGTTTTTTGTAATCTCAGTGACCAACCATACAATTAACCCTATATATTATTGAATCTCTTCCAACAACTCGATTTGTTGATACTAAATAGTTTTTTTATAAAGAACATTATTCGAAAGCTAAATCATGAATTATTGATTTGTGTAAGATTTATTATTAAACCTCTATAAACAACTCGATTTATTGATACTAATGGTTCTTGACAAAGAACACCATTTGAAACAGTACGAGTGTACGACTAACTAAATCAATAATTGTTTGGTATGCGGAATGATATTCTTGATATTTTTTTACTACTAATACATTTTAATTTACCAAAAAATTTTAATTTAAGATTATATTAACAAAAACTATTTTATCTTATGTATTTTTTTTAGGTGGACCCGATCTTGACTACGCCACTGGTCTGAGTCCCTATCTCTCCTCAGCTTTCAACCTACCTTTTATATATAGTCTTATAATAAAGGTGATCTCGTTTTAGTGTTCACCAAGAATTAACTAGCTTTACATATTATAAAATAATAATAATAATAATAATTTTGGCTAATATATTTTATTTTACAAGAATTTTAGCTTTATATATAACTAGTCACAGGCTCGGCCAGTCGGCCGGATTCATTTGTCAATCACGTAAATAACAATGATTTTTGGTATTCGATTAACACATTGGTATAAGATAATCTAAGTTCTTCAAATACTTGAAACGTTCGAATCGATTTGGAGAATAAGAGAATCCAAATTGGTGAATTAGTTCAACAATCCAAAAGGATCAACATCACATTTTTTCGACATTTAATGACCAATGGACTAAAACCCTTTTACGAAAATGAAAGAAAAATCTCATGCAAGGAAATCGAATCCTCTAGACCAATTAAAATGACTTTTCTAATTACTCTTCATTGTTAGAGATTACTGCATGTTTTCTTTCTGCCTTGATTGCATTGCCTCCGACATGAGCAACAACCTCATTGTCAAATATTAGTAATGTCTTCAAGCATTTCAATTGAGCACAAAACTTGATGGTAAAATTTATTTGCAAATATTTATCATTTTTTTCATTAGAATAGAAATTACCTCGTCCAAATTATAAATATATGTTGGATTTGTTTTTTCTCCCCGTCACCCACTTGAAATCTTCCTCATAAACAATGTATTTTTTTTTTAACATCATCATCATCTCTATCATCGAATTTATTATCTCCACCGTAATAAAATTATAATTTATTCTAAATTTTCTCTTAGTTTTGTTGATTTCAGCTATCCCAGTGGTCCATTGTGATTTGATAATAATCATTATTGAAGTTCCATATTTCCGAGGGGAAATTACTGTTGTCGTTTCTCTCCCAATTTCATTTTTTTTTTATGAATCGGTTAACTTGTATATAATCAAAAATCACCAAAAACATTGGCAACAAACCCTGCCAATTAAGCAACAGTCAACTAACCAAACCAATTTCACATATCTATTCAGCTATACCTCTAGAACAAAAACTGCAAATCCTATAACCAAAAGTAACAAATTCAGATTGGCCAAAACTCTACTACACTTTCCTTATCAGACAATGTGATGAGTGGTGACATCCCTCATAATTTGAGCAATTAAATCTGAACAATTCCTTCTGGATCCACTAATTTTACCTTTTATGTTTACTTGAATTAACATTTTATGTAAAGGGTAATTGTAGTTATATAAGATTCATGTAATTTGTTTCTGTTTTTGTTATATAATAAGAAGTTACATACAAAATTTATTTAATGAAGGACTTAAATTTTAAACAATATAACAGTTATTAAAAAAACTTGGAAATAATCTAACAAATTCGGAGATTTTATTTTCTGGGTTCGTACTTAACAAAGAGTCAAAAAAAGCTCGTGCTCTATTTTTAACGTAAGAATTTATTATTATTATTAAAAATATTTAATTTGAAAAGGCAAAAGAGTTCTTTCTATAATCATTCAATTTAATCTTACAGAAGAGTTTCTTCAAAAAAAAATCTTACAGGAGAGCACGGTAATTTTAATAGTATATATAAGAGTAATTTAATGAGGATATTAAAAATTCAAGAGATGAATAACTAACCTTGATTTGTTGCAAAATTTGACTTTGACGCGTGCATGAAATTGCAACAATAGATATCAGTTATAAGGAGCAACAAATCGATTATCTAGTGAGACTCCATTCACCATATACGATTTATTGTTCTCTCGACGTGGATATCTAGCAAAACCATTCCCATCAATAGTTGTTTGGCTGCAGAATTCCTTCGATAAATATTTAGAGAGATGCACCATTAGTTGTACATGGAGCTTTAGATCCTTGAAAATCACATGGACCATGAAACGTAGATTTTGCAACTGCATTATAACATTCAATATTTGCTTTACGATATGAGATTTCAGAGACTATAACTAAATCTATTTAACTGCTCTCATGTGGAATTAAGGGCTCACATTAATTAAAGCCATTCCATAGTCACTTTACTGGTCTGTAAATGGCCCATAAATATTGTATCCCCTCGCCCTTCGCACTCACTTTACTGCTGCGCGTAAGAGTGGATTTACCAATATGTCCCTCTGTCTACTGCGGAGGAGCTTGGAAAATTGAGATTGTTGGGGTTTTGGAGGAGAACCTCCATATAGTATTGGTTTAGATATTTCCAGCATTAACACAATAGATTAACTATATACTAGACATCACCACACGTCCACACCTGGAGAATGCAGGTCCTTGCAAAACAAGCAAATTCTTCCTATACAACTGATTAACTGCCATTGAGTTTAGCTCATCACTCAGAGTACGGTTTGAATTGTAAATAAATACCAATCGTAAAAACAGAGATGAAATGAACGAAACTAACAGCTACAGTAAATAAATACCAATCGTAAAAACAGAGATGAAATGAACGAAACTAACAGCTACAGTAACTACCTAGCTTAAGCATCCAAAAGAGATTTACTTGCGAGCTCATTACTAAAGAGCCTGATCAACACTACCCTTTTGAGGGGCGATTACCCTCCAATAGCTCGTCAATGCAGAATTCATGCAGAAGGTCGTGAGTTTTCTTCAATCTCTTCGTCATTTGTCTAGACTCTGCAAGATCATGCTTCAGCTTTGCCACTCCCATCTCAGCCGCAGTTGAAGAACCCTTTTGCTGCAATAGGAGATGAAACATGGTCCCACTCAATACAAATACAAAGCAAAAGGTTGGCATAACAAAATCTAGAGGACAGAAGATGCAAATTTGTTTCAGATTATTCAATGAAAATGGAAATGAAATGAAAACAAAGACATGATTAATAACCTGAAGTTCTTTGAGTTGGTCGTTGATCAATTGAGAGGTGACATATGCAGCATCAAGAAGATTATTGTTGATATGCGGCAAGGTAATGATTGCCTCAGTGGTTGAATCGGCATCTTTAGTATTTTGGGGTGTCCACAGTTTGGGTGGTAGTGAAGACTTCCGTCGCCTTATGACCTGGAGATTGTTCACTGGACCTGCCTCAGGAAACAATTTAGATGAAGATCAGAAAAGAAAATTGGAGCTCCAAAGGAAAATCTGTGCTCTGACCATAACTTGAAGGTCAATACTACAGCTACATGGCAATTTTCTATCAAAGAAAATAACAACTCAAATAGGGAGCAAAATAATAAACTGGAAGCAGATCAAGGAAATCTGCACAGAAAAAATCTGTCACCTTTTTCATGATTGAACCCGCGAATGAGGCTCATGTTCTTGGGGTCCCAAATTCGAATTGATCCATCCTCTGATCCAGCAAGCAACCAGTTTTTACTGGTACTGTATGCTAAGGAAGTCACAGCCTCGTTCAAGTTCTTACTGCCCGTTAATAAAAATAAATGACAAAGTTCATCAGCTCAAAACAATTGGCAAGGTCAACCAACCAAGTAGTATTGCTGAATCTATCTAAGAAGCAATATTCTCTGACAAAAGGAATCAATTGAGGTGGGCAGAAAGGAAAGAAGCAGGCGATGCAATGCAAGCTCATGATCACCCGTTCTGCTAGGTATCAACCCCTATGCATGCTCAAATTGAAAATAGAAGACAGAAGTTGAGAGGACCAACAACATACATAAACAACAATAGTACAGGAACTAACTAACCTTCCACTAGACAATGAACCGATGATGTGCAACCAAGGACTTTTGCTGGAGGAGCTACTAGCACTAAGAGCAGTCAAATATATCTTCCCGTCTTTACCACCAGCATAGAAGACAGTTTCCCCAGGGTCCAAGACTATTGCATTGATTATGCATGGAAACACAACACTTCTCAACAATTCACCCTTAGAGAGGCTCCATACCTGACAAGAATCCCCAATGCCAGATAAATGTTTCAGTGTTGACATTGTGGGTTATTTCGACGATATATAAAGAAGAGGAATGTAAAAACAATCAAATTCAGGAATCAAACCTTACAAGTTCGGTCCTCAGAGGCAGAAACGATAACTGCGTTCCATCCTCCATAACCTATCACCAAGTCAGTTATAGGCAAAGTGTGCTCTGCAAAGCTATACAAGTATGGATCGTCTGTTTGTTGATCATCAAGCATCCTGATCCAGAGAGAAGCACACACAAAAAACATCAAGCCATCCTTAGCAATTACAACCGACACAAAAGTTACACCCTTTTCAACCACAATCCACAAAAGAGGAGAAGGGGAGGTTACTTCAAAAGTGCCCACACTTTGACAGAGCCATCCTCCGACCCAGAAACCAAAAGCGAATCGTCGTCATTGAATACCAGACAAGTGACCTGCCGGAGATGCCCACGCCATTTCTTAAGCAATCTACCAGTAGCAACCTACATCAATCAAATGCCTCCTAAATTGAATCAAACTGATTCCTGAATTTGATCATTAAAACGAGGGAGGAAGAAAAACTCACCTCCCAAAGATATATGTTTCCGGGGATCTTTCCGGAAATCCCTCCACCAACAAGGTATGTCCCTTCACGATTAGCAGCTATAGGCTTTATGGGCTCCTCCACAAAGCTCTTCACTTCCACTCCCGGCTAATAATCCCCAAATAATTTTGGCAACGAAAATGTCAATTCTCTGAAATCAAGAGAACGGGGAGCTGAAGAGTTCAAAAAATCTGAGATACCTTGGACCAAGACCAGTAGTAAATGAAACCAGAAGCGAGCTTAGGGTCTCGAAGCTGAGAAGATGCGAGGAAGCGGCTGCCGACGGCGGAAAGGCCGTGGCGAGTGGAGGCGCAGGATTTGTAATGGAGCGACTGCTTAGCACCCGTCTTGAGGTCCCAGCAGCCTATGCCGGCGTCGACTGAAGATGACGCAATCACCATCTCCGGTTCCATGTCGCCCTACCGCAGCTTGTTCACTCTGGAAGACCCGATTTGCAGGGTCTTAGGACTTAAATGCTGAGATTTTGGTAGGGTTTTAGGAACAGAACAAATAATATGAACACCCCTCTTTCAGAAGAAGAAAAAAATAAGTAAGAGTTTTTCATATATAACTACGGACCTATTTGCAGTGCGTCATATGGGCCTTAGGTAAGGGCTTCTCGAACCATTAAACCTGAAAGTAGGCCTGGTTTCTGGGCCGAAGTGGGATCTTTCATTGTGGCCCAACACCATTTTTATCTCCATATCCCCGCCCCCATTCTTCTAGACTGACTATTAAATGGGCAAATAATTGGTGAATGATGAGAATTGAGAATGGGTAGCCCAGGAACTCAAATCAGCCCACGATGACTTTTTCATTGGAGATGGATTGATGGAATGCAAACAAGGAAAAGAAGAAGACAGATTCCCCTATTTGTCTGCTAGGGTTCTAGGTGGGAAAAGTAGAGAATATATAGAGGTATGGGGGAAAATATAGTTTTGTTTTTCATGGAGAAGGTTTGGAAAATGAGAAGAAAGGGAAACAGAAGAGCGAAGGAAATAAAAAGGTGTGCATGGATCTAATCTATAATCTAATCTATGAGCTGAGAAGAGAAGAGAAGAGAAAGAGATGCAGCAGCAGCAAGCATGTGTGTTTGTGTGGGGATAGGTGAATGCAGCCTTATTGACCCACTACTGATCACTATAATATTACATTACAGACTGACCACCTTATAGAGCTCTATAGCTAGCTACTGAATTCTCTCTTCTTTACTTTACTTTACTTGCTTCCATGTGTAATGCTGCAGCCTGCAGCTACCTAGCTAGCCTTTCATTCATTTCTTACTTCTTTGCTTGTTCTTCTAGCTTTATGAATTTATTATACACGGAAAAGAAGACTGATCAGGAAAGAAAAGCAAAACAAGAGGAAAGCCCGCGATGGAAGAGAGAGAAGAGGGTTGTAATGGAGGTATATGCAAGGGGCATACAGTAGTTTATTGTTTTTATGGAAACTTGTCAATAAAGTGTGTTTGGAGGAGTACTATTCTACTCCTGCTACTGCTGCAAAAAAGAAGTGTCGAGAGACAGAAAAGAAGTTTGCATGTCAACAAAGTTGGATAGAGGAAGAGGAGAGGAGGAATCAAAACTTAGCCGGAGGGCGATTACTACGTAGGTTGTCAACCACATAATGTAATATACTTTGTAGAGGATGTCACTATTATCCAGTTCAGTCTTAATCCTGTATTATGTCGTAATTACTCCAATAAGTGTTCTACAACTTACATGCATAGACAACAAACAAATTTAGGGCTCGTTTGGAGAATATGAGTTTAAATCTATAGATTGTCAATAATCTAAAGATTCAAACTCTTCGGATTGTTGAAAATAGATTTTAAAATGTTTATTGTTTGGTAACTATGATTGTAATTAACATTCAAATAAAATAAAATTTACAATTTTATATCAATAACATGTTTATCTTTAATAATAAATTAGATTGGTTCTAGAAATATTAAAAACTTTGTTAATGAATATATTTAATGTGATATATAAATAAAATGAAGAGAAAAAGTAGGAGAAAAAAATCTCACGAATCAAGATATAGAAACTCTCTGATTATGAGATATTTGATATCCATAGATTTTAGAGATTTGAAATCCCTGAAGTTAAAATCCACATTACAAAAAGGAACATGAAGACCCTGATGGGGAAGAAGGTCCTATGTTGAATGCAACTCCACCTGCAGTGGAAGAAGAGGAAGAGGAGACTACAAACAGTCCTGTCACATCTGCTGCAACAGGCCTTGATGCCTATGCTGATGAAGAAGAAGAAGAAGAAGAGGACAACAACTCCACTGTTGTCCTAGGCCTACCTCACAGTCCTACACTTGGTACCAGATCACGAAAGCCACCTATCCATCTCTCCATTTATGACTGCTCACACTCTACTGAGGTACAGCCAGACTGGTTGCTGATGGCAGAAGTAACAGGAGATCCACAATGCTTTGAAGAAGCAGCTGGCCTAGAGAAGTGGAATGAAGCAATGCAGCAAGAGATGCAGTGCATAGAAAAAAACAACACGTGGGAATTGACTGAATGCCCTCCATGTATTACTCCCATTGGCTTGAAATGGCTCTATAAAACTAAGTTGACAGAGAACAGTGCCATTGACAGGCATAGGTCCAAATTAGTAGTCAAGGGTTATGCATAGAAGGCTGGCATAGACTATAATGAAGTGTTTGCTCCAGTTGCCAGGTGGGACACTATAAGAACATTGTTGGCCTTTGCTGCTCACCATGGTTTTCCAGTTTAGCAGTTAGATGTTAAGAGTGCATTTCTGAATGGTGAACTTAATGAAGATGTTTATGTTGAGCAACCACAAGGATTTGTGATTGCTGGGGAGGAATCTAAGGTATATAAGCTAAAGAAGGCACTTTATGGCCTAAAACAAGCTCATAGGGCCTGATACAGTCGTATTGAGGCACATTTTCTGAGTGATGGCTTTGAAAAATGCCAGAATGAAGCTACTTTGTTCATTAAAAGAACTCAGCAGGAAGTACTTATAGTCATCATTTATGTGGATGAAGTTCTATATACAAGTAGCAGTTCCAAGTTGGTAGATGAATTCAAAAGAGCTATGGAAGCTGAATTTGAAATGTCTGACTTGGGACAGATAAAGTTCTTTCTGGGAGTGGAAGTGATGCAAAGTGAAAGAGGCATATTCATCTGCCAACAAAAGTATGCTAGAGAAGTCTTGGAGAGATTTCACTTGACAGAGTGTAATTTTGTACACAATCCTATTGTGCCTGGAGTAAAACTGACAAAAGCAGGAGAAGGAAGCCAAGTGAATCCAACCGAGTTTAAACAACTCATTGGAAGTCTGCTGTACTTAACAGCAACCAGGCCAGACTTGATTTTCTATGTACGTCTGTTAAGTAGATACATGGAGAACCCTACAAAACAACACCTGCTGGCAGCTAAACGAGTGTTAAGGTATGTAAAAGGAATTGTGAGCCATGGTATTTGGTACCATAAGAATGAAAGGGAGGACGGTCTGTTGGGGTACATAGATAGTGATTATGCAGGTGATCTGGATGACAGGAAGAGCACCAGTGGCTATGTCTACTTCTTGGCTGGTGGGGCAATTTCGTGGGCATCTAAGAAGCAACTCGTGGTTACTTTGTCAACCACGGAGGATGAATTTGTTGCTGCTGCATACTGTGCTGCTCAAGGAGTCTGGTTGAGAAGAATTCTAGCTGAGATTGGGTGGAAAAGCAGTGTAGACAAAGGCACAGTCATCTTGTGTGACAACAGCTCTACAATCTAATTGTCAAAGAACCCTGTAATGCACAGAAGGAGCAAACACATTGACGTACGATTTCATTTCCTAAGAGATCTGGCTAAGGAAAGAATTGTGGAATTACAGCATTGTCCCACTCAAGAGCAAGTTGCAGATATCATGACCAAAGCTTTGTCTCTGGAAACTTTTCAGAGGCTGAGAAGTAAGTTGGGTGTCTGCGATCTCTCTGAAGTCAAGTGAAGAAGAACTGTTTTTCCTAATGAACTGAAGCTTGAAGCGAGAAGAACTTCAGTTGAGGGGAGGACATGTTGGAAGAAGGAATCCTAGTGACATAAGGATTGAAGCTGGGCGCCAAATGTTTAAGGTTCGAATCAGTCTTAGTGTTGATGTGTCGTTTTGAGGTTGAGTCTGTCTAATAATCAATACTGCACCGTTTGCATTATGTCTGTGTTAGTCCCTTTAGTTTTGTAAAAGGTCAAGTAAGTCCCAGTTAGTTGAGTTAGCCGTTGAGATCATATAGCTGAATATGTTAGAAGAGATTGATGGAAATCTGGATAGTGGAGTCAGGGTTGTTGTGAGCAGTTTGAGTTAGGGGCTTGCAACTCATTCTATTTATACTTTCTGTTCTTTTTCAATAAAACTCGTCAGATTGCATTGAGTGTGTTTCTACAGTTGCCACTTTCTGTTTTAATAGTTGGAAACGAATAAAAAACAGAATGAAAAGTAAACAAGTTTTCTCGTTTGGGTTACCAAATTTATGACATGAAAACAGAAAACAGGAAACGAAAATGGAAGTAAACAAGGCCATACATTTATGAGTGTAGAGACTTATAATAGCCAACTATTGCCTTGCCAAACTTTGGTCGCCCTTTCTTTGGATTGTGATTTTGGATATATAGTTGAGATAACGATCGTGGTTTGCCACTTTATGAAATAACTCGATATTTCGAACACCATGTTCTAGTAAAAGTTCTCCAGATCTTTGCTGACAAAAAAATTCTTCTTTCGTGAGTATCTACTTATCATGGTTTCATTTGGGACGGAACCTACCTTTTTCTTTGTTGCAAGTCCCAACCATAAATGAGGCTTGAGATATGTTGTTTTTGCTCATTAATTCTGCCAAACTCAAAATGATTCCAGCTCTTAAGCTTGGTTTTGGGAACTTAAGGCATTGTACGTACTCCACATGTTTTAAATCCTGAATGGCCTTCTGATGGTTGCGGTGGAGACCACAACTGAGGAAGAGTGGGGCGTGATGAGATAAATTAAAACTCATACTAAATAGAGAGCAGAGATGCATGATTGTAGTTGGGGGAATTTAATGTTGAATTTGTACGAGATCGAGCTCAAGTCATGATAATGGAGGGGGTGTTTCTCGTATTTCTCAATGTGAATCTTGTGTTGTCGATTGGAGGTCCAACATCTTTTGATTAATTCATTAAAATAAGTTCAATGCAAATCGTAAGAATTATCAGTTATGAATTTAAATTTTGTGCAAATTCATCTTCTCTCGTGATTGTATCAAAGTTAATATTGCAAGATTGTGAGGATTCGAATATCTAAAATTTTCAATAAGAAAAGTTCTCCCTGCCATATTTAAGTTACTTTCCTATGCTGATAATATTCAATAGATCAATCACCCAGACTACAAATGTGCAATGGGTTGATTCCTAGCATACCACACTAGATCAAACCGATGTTTGGATGAGACTATACCAAACCAAATATAGTATCGTCCCGTCATTGATCCCCGTGAATTTTATAAATACTGAAGAACAATGAACTCAAGTGAAATTTGGATCTCATACCAAATTGGACCAAAGCATATCAAATGCAATGTTGATCCAGTTCTTAATATAATGTATCGCATACTAATGAACAATGATTCTCATAAATCTGGT